AAAAGGTTTAGCTTTTGTAGTGAATTAGGGTTTTGTTTCTACTTGATGAATATAATACATTTTGTGTATTAAGATGAATATGTTTGTAAGTTATAATGAGGTGGCATGATTTTATAGCAAGTTCTTTTAATGAAATCCATAGTTAGCAACCGGTATACGAATTTAAATTCTTTACTTATTTTGTATCAAACAGTTTGTTTTATGAGTTATAGCACCAGAGAATACTCTCAATTTTATGATTTAACCAATTGATCATGTGTATCTGGTACATGTCGTTTGCATGAGAAAAAAAAAACATCTACTTGCTCTTTATCAGCATGTTCTTGGTTGTCTTAGTGTCAAGAAGATATTGGCAGGGAAATGGAGGATTATAATTTCGTTAAATTATGGTAAACAAAGGGTGGATGGAGAACCATATGAAATATGTTAAAAAAAAAACGAAAAATGAAGATCATACAAGAAACAAGCTAAATAAGAGTCAGACGAGTGAAGGATTCTCAGTTACTAGTTATTGATATTATAAGAGTAAAGAGATACATAGAATTGTGAATGAATTTAGAATTTGAAGGTAGTAGTTGGAACTTGGAAGCCATAATTTTGATGTGTAACAACGACAGTGACGAACTGTTCTGTTTTTATCATGATAATTTAAGCAATCGATGCATCATCCTGCATACACAGAACAAGGTCGGCATGCTTAATATATTCTTGGATTACATTGCTCAATAGATGAGGTTATCAGCACCATAATGTGACACAAGCTTCTTAATGAAGGGTCTTTATAAGCAAATTCTAGTTATACATGGAGCACAACTACGTAAGAAGTATGAACACCTAATGAACGATTGATTTCATACTCTGCAATGGCTGGTGTGCGGATATTAGGAGGGATGCTAGCTTGTTTGTGGTTGGATAACATAGTGAACTTTTTGGAGGATTAACAAATGTAGTTAATCAATTTCCTTTGGACAGTCAGACAAAGAAACTCACATTCATGTCTTCAAAGAGACTCAAAACTCATGACCTTAGGGTCCTAGAGGTTTCATTGGGCAAAACTCTTCTTGGTTGCTACTAAGTTAATGGGCCTTCATTTCATAGGGTCAATCCAGTAGTTTCTCTTAGAGTGCAATTGACATTAACATGTTTAGGGTTTTGAATTGAGTGATATAAAAGTATGCATGGGTGAAACTCGAAACATGTATCGGCTAGATATTGGGTCATCTATAAGACAACGAAAGTTGCTAGCTTTTGTTTTTTTTTCTTAGTCAGCCAAGGAAAAGGAGCTTCAAACCCATGAGTTTTAGCTGATTACCAACTTATCACTTAGGGGTAGGTTGCATATCATTATAGCGAAACACCTGATAGTCATCGGTTATTATCAAAGAAAATAATATGAGAGGAGTACCTGAGTTGGTTTGGTCATTATAGGGTGTAAACAAATTATAGCATCTGAGGAGTGAAGCTATCGTTCCATGGAGGTAAAGTAAAAACTTGGCCGAGACATATGCTGTAGAACTAGAGAAGAAAAGGAGTCTTTATCTTGAATTATTGATGAATATAAAAAGGAATTCATGTTAGGATTTCTATCATGGAGGATAAGTTTAAGCTTGGAACCACAAGGGTGGTGCCTGATTCGTTTGAGCTTGGCTCCAAAGGTCAAAAGTATCAGGAGGTCCTAAGTTCAAATCCAAGGAAGAATAAAAATCCCTTTGTGGCCACGGAGGTTCAAATGCAGTGACTCCAGGTCATCTGCAAAGCAGATGGTCGCCCTGGGATTAGTCGGTTCGTATAGCGGATTGGATATCCAAGTTAAAAAAAAGGGGTTTAAGTTTGGATAGTTGAGTAAAATTTCAATTAACTTTGAAGAATACGATTTGTAGAACTTGTAGGAGCATATATAAATTCAGGGAATTTTTTTTCTTTTCATCCTCAAACCGATGGTCAAAGTGAACGGACCATTCAAACCCTCGAGGATATGCTCAGATCGTGTGTTATCGACTTTGGCGGGAATTGGGATTATCACCTACCCCTAGTTGAATTCGCCTACAACAATAGTTATCATTCCAGTATCGGGAGGGCACCTTTCGAGGCCTTATATGGACGAAAATGTAGGATGCCGGTATGTTGGTTAGAAGCGGGTGAGAAACAATTCGCCGGTCCCGAGATCGTGTAAGAGACGGCCGACAAAGTAAAGAATATTCGAGAACGCTTAAAGTCACCCTAAAATCGACAAAAGAGTTACGCAGATAAGAGGAGCCGACCTATAGTATTCCAAGTGGGCGATCGCGTTATGCTAAAAGTATCCTCCGGAAAGGTATCATTCGTTTTGGAAAGCGTGGGAAGCTGAATCCTCGTTTCCTCGGACCGTTTAAGGTCCTGGCTAGGGTGGGACTTCAGGCTTATAAATTAGAACTACCACCAGAGATGGCCGGAATACATAATACATTTCATGTGTGCTACCTTCGTAAGTGCTTGGCGGAAGAAGAAAACGTTGTACCACTTTCGGAAATTAGTATTGATAAGAACAACCAATGCGTGGAGGAACCGGAAGCCATCTTAGAAAACAAAACCAAGGTTTTGAGGCACCGAGAGGTTGTCATGGTCAAGGTGAAGTGGAAACACCATCGAGGATCAAACGTGACATAGGAAGCGGAAGAAGACTTGAAAAGGCGTTATCCTCACCTCTTCGCGTGATGCAGAAAAAAAAAAAAATTTCGAGGAAGAAATTTGATCAAAGGTGGGAAGAATTGTAACACCCAGAAATTTCTTTCCCAACTCTATGCGCGAAAAATAAAATTTAAAGATTTATTCAAGGTCCGCGTCTCTTTTCTTAATTTGTCTATATTTACAAAACTCTTTACATTATGTAAATCTTTTTTTTCTTCTACTTTAAGGTATAGGAGTATAAGTACATATATATTATATATATATATATATATATTAAGTGTTGTGTCAGGAAATCCTTTTGTATATCTTAGGAGTTTAGTTTAATAGAAAATAGGGAGGAGTACCTGCATGCTATCCTACTCTATGTCTCACTTTTTCTCTTCCTAGAGGTCTTTCCTTTTCCATGGAGGACCATGACCTCCATGTAATGGATGAGATTTAGGATCTCAATCAGAAAAAAGGGGGGGGGTCAGTAGCTTCGAAAAGGGGAAAGAAAAGAAGGAAAAGGGAGGAGTCAACACATCTCCTTTGCTGGAACTGAAGGAAGATTTCCCTCAACCTCTCTTARACCAGGCGGTTCGGAGGAAGTGTGGACAAACCACCGTCGCCGGAGYAACGRCAGCATGCARCGAACAGCTGCYTGCCTGCGTTTTCTMGGAYAGCAACGRCAGCAAACARCGAACAGCTGCCTGCGTTTTCTCGTCCAACAGCAGCTTCAAGCGCAGYCGTGCGCGTTTCGGCAGCAGCAGCAAGACTGCRCGTCTTTCCTCTCGACAGCAGCAACAAATGTTGGCCGGAAACCGCTGTTTTTCTCCTTTTTATCGCCAAAACAGCAGCAGCAAACRGCRGACCGAAAGCYGCTGTTTCTCCGTCTTCTTTGCCCGGACARCAGACCAGTGCAGTGCTGTCCTTCGTCGCCTCRCTCAACAACATCATCRGCAAGCAATAGTCTAAATCCTACTCGTGAGTTCATCCAACCCCTTCTCTKTTAGAAGCTTTATACTAATCGAAATTATGGGTTATGCTTGTCTTATACCTTGTCTCTAGGCGTTTGCTTGCTTGGTAAAATACTTRCGTCAAAGTGAGTTTGGACCTAAAGCTTTATAAACCCTCATATTTCATTGTTTGGAGTTTATTATTGGTAAAATGGAAACGTCCTTTCGATTTAGGACTCATGCTAATATGTGAGTGATGTACAAGTGGTCGTATGTTTATACTAATGCATTTAATACGTCACCCGAATGTGAAGGTTTTGTAGATAWAKAAGTTGTTTWATTATGCTTGTGTGAAGGATGGTGTAAGTTGGAAATARGCATTGTGATTACTATGTAATGTCCAAATCATCTTCTCACACCCCACTCGGAAGTAGGCATTGTGATTATTATGTAACTTCCGAGGTCATCTTCGGATGTCTCGACTCTCCCACGTATTATTTATGACTCATTTTCTATATATATATATATATATATATATCGTGCGATACTACGTCTTTATTTATATTTATATAGTGCATGTATACCGTTTTATTTTATTCGTGGGAAGGATGGTGTAAGTTGGTGATAGGCAYTGTGATTATTATGWAATCACCAAATCATCCTCTCATTTTCACTCGRTAATAGGCATTGTGATTATTATGTAATTACCGAGGTAAAGAGCTTATGATYACGGCCGACTATATGACTGGTTTAGGTTGATGTCGATGGTATTATACCTGTAAGTGATGYTCTATAACGTGGATCTATGACTTACTTTGTGTCTGTCATAATCAACGGTAAATCGGGTCTCCCCCGTCATCTTCRGATGTTTTATTGTCCCACTATGARTTATTCAGGTCTTACTGTCTCTTTTCCTGTTTAAAGTTACGTCAACTATTTGCATGTACATTTTTATATATGTTCCTTTATGTTTACGTAAACTCTTGTTTGGACTCACTAGGCGTAAGCCTAACCCTCTCTCTCTTTCTTGTTMTATTTACTTTTAGGTTCCTTTAGTGGTGGGGCTCTAAAGGGTCGAGAGGAGCATTGGTTCGTGAAAGACTCTTTTGTATTTATAGGCTTGTTACTTTCGAGCGTCCCGTTTTGATGTTGYGACTTCTTGGAGACTAATAGAAACCCCCGTCTTTAATCTAGATTTAGAATGTTCTAGATTAATAGGTTGTTATTTATCATCTCGATTAGCCGGATTGTAACCGCCATACTATTTCTTTTGTTGGTTAAATCTTATTTTATGCTTTGGGCTCTCGTAAATGAATTTCGGTTTATGTATTTTTAGGGGTGTTACATGTTCTCGTCACCTTTTACACTCTATCTTTCGAGCATGCACTTGTAAAACCTTTATGTCAGATGGTTGCCAATAAGTAGCCCAATCACTAGCCCACTCCCAACTCCTGAAAGTATAACAACCCAATCAACTCTATTTGGGAAGTTCGAATCAGTATCCTCGTGGAGGGAAAGTGCTGGAGGCTTTGATGCTTCTGAATTCTCACATTTCTTCGATAGAGGGTCTCCACATAATGCTAAATTTCCCGTGTAAGAAGTATTCAGAAAGGTATTGAACTGTGGACCTTGTGGTATGTGCCCAGTAAGGTTGTTGTACGAGACATTTAAGAACGCGAGGAAATTCAGTTGTGTCAACTCTCGAGGCATTTTTCCTGAAAGCTTGTTTCTAGAAAGATCCAATGACTCGAGAAGTGTCAGGTTTCCCATAAAGGATGGGATGACACCAGAAAGCTCATTATTTGAAAGGTTGAGTAGCCGAAGACCACCAAGGCTTTGAATGGATTCTGGAATCTTACCCCTGAACTTGTTACTTGAGAGATCAACTGCTATGAAGATGTCTATAATCTTTTCATACTCCATATTAACACCTTTGGTGATTAACTTCATTGAGTATGAATAATTCCCAATCCACCGTAGTTTTCCACCCAAATATCAATCCTTGCTTGCATATATGTTGCATCTGATTTCGTATCTTTCATTGCTGACCACCCTTGGAAGTACCGATGTGGCAAATCACCAGAAAATGAATTATATGAGAGGTCGATGATGCGTAATTTTGGGAACTTGGAGTTGGTTTTTTCTGGGATCGGTATAGCACCGTGAAATTTGTTAGACTTGAGGATGAGAACCTGTAGCTCTGAAAGTTTTTCTAACCAGAAGGGGAACATGTCCTCTATATGGTTATTTCCAAGGTCTAGGATTTGGAGTGAGGCACAATTTTCCAATGATCTAGGTAGCTGATCCTCCAATTGATTTTCGCTTAAACTGATCATGTGAAGCTTGCTTCCATTAGTGAATGTGTTGGGAATGGTTCCTCGTAAAACGTTGCTTCTAAGATTCAACACTAACAATGATTCCTCTATTCTCTCAATGCATGGAGTAATGGAGCCAGTAATGTTGTTGAATGATAAATCAAGCACCTGGAGAAATTGCAAGCCACATATGGATGGTGGAATTTATCCGGTCAACTTATTGTTTGAGACCAAAAAGTTCATGGTGGTTGGTGGTGGCATTGGGATGGATCCTTGCAGCATATTGTGACTCAGGTCCAATTCCCGTAAGCCAACCCAAGGAAGAACAGACGAATGCTGCTCGAAACCCCTTATGGAATTTTGAGAAAGTGAAAGGGCCTGTAATGTTTCCTTGCTCGTATTCCCCATCCATTCAGGTATCGGCCCGTCAATTTTATTGTCGTCAAGGGACAATTCTTGTAGTTGATCTTGAAAGCGTAAAAAGTCCGGGAAAACTTTTAAGTTACATGACTCCAACCATAAGATTTCAAACTTTGGTAGAGTGTCGCTGGTGTGGTAATCAATGAATGAAAGTGTGATTTTGTTTCCACCTAGATAGAGAGCTTTCAGTTTCTTGAGAGAGAGAAAAATATCAGCCTCCACTATGCCACTGATGTTGTTATCACTCAACAAAACTATCTCCAGATTTTTGAGAGTCGACAATGAGCTTGGAATTGGGCCTTTCAATTGATTTTGTGTAAGGTCTAATAATGTTATTTTGGTCATGGTGTTTGGAAAGGGTGGTATTGGACCTTCAATTTGATTTCATGACAAGCTTAACTCTCCAACTTGTGTCAAGTTATAAATTGAGGATGGGATCTCACCATATAGGTTGACAGCATCAAGTTGCAAATAAGTAAGCTTATTTAGCTTACCAAGCCAATCGGGTAGCTTCCATCTATCAAAACTATTGCCGGTAAGAAACAATTCGGTGAGGTTTGAAAGGCTTTCTAAAGAGGGAAGGAAGCCTGTGAACTTATTATACCCGAGGATTAGGTCTGTAAGCTGTGTTAGGTTCATAATTGAGGATGGTATTTGACCAACCATGTTATTATAGTTGAGGTAAAGTTCTTTAAGTTGCATTTGATTCCCAATAGATGATGGGATCTCACAACTTAGATTGTTTTCCGTAAGGTCCAAGTAAGAGAGTTTAGGAAGCTTACCAAGCCAGTCAGAGAGGTTATTTCCCTCAAATTTATTGAAGGAAAGCTTCAAATAACTGAGTTTTGACTGGCTGGCCAAAGAGGGAATTTGTCCCCAGAAGCTGTTGTTATAAAGATTAAGAAATGTAAGTTGGATCAAGTTGCCTACTGATCCCGGAAGAGTTCCCAAGAAAGAGCAACTACTCACATCCAATCGTTCTAAGTGAACTGACGCTAACACACCGCAATATTAACAACAAATTTAGCGTGAATTGAAGTATTATTTAGTTCTCGTGCTTGTTGACGAAGAAGACCGCATGTAATTTAAAGAGCAGGAAATCACAATATATCGGACTACAAAAACCTCTTCCTGATTTAATTCAATGGGTCCCCTTCGAAAGCAACAATAGATGATGTGGAGAGAGTTTAGGGTTTATAATGGTATCATACTTGTGTTTTGTATATGCGAGCAAAAGTCATGTACCAACAGCAAACAACGGGAAATAATGATGCATTGTTATGCTCTTGTATTTTAAGTAAATGGGTTTGTCCTCATACGTGTTTTGTTTTGTGGGGAATGGAATGCAGTAGAATAGATGATTGGCAAATGGGCCTTTTTTCTAGAAGTTGGGCAAGCTTTTGTATCTTTACCACAAATCAACAGGTTTTAATATATTATAGTAACAACTATAGTAAAAATTAATGACATTTTTTCCATATTTTCTTAATTAGTGACCACTTTTTTGTCACTAATGGAAGTTAACGTATATTAATGGAGCCGTTATCTTGAACTATTAGTGACGACTTTTATCGATTTAGTGACTAAATTAGTCGTCACAAATACAATGACCACTTTAATCTTGTCAATAATTAGTAACCATTTTTGTATTTGGTCACTATTGAAAATCAGTGACAAACCTCAAGTGACAAAAAGTGACCATTGAAATTTTGGTCATTATAAGACTTCAATGACCAATTTTAGGTTGTTGGTGACCAATTTTATTTTTATTTTTATCACTAATTAGGAGTTTTCTTGTTGAGAGTTTGAACTTTGAATTAGTTATTTTTGACGAAAATAATTGTTTAATGTTTGGAAAAAAATAAGTAATATTTTACGCCTTAGTGACAGTTTACCAAACGCTTACCCAGATAAACACTTACAAAGTAACATTACCTCACCGCATATATATGGTTACTTGAATTTGCTATCATATATCATATAGGATAGGGTGTACATCTACTAAAAATTAAAAGAAGCAAATTAATGCTTTTATTTATTAAAGGATTTGGTTTCAATTGCGGAGTGGCCTTACCCATTTGTCCTTCCTCGTACTGAACCAATCACTGTACCTTGCATACAAAAAGTTCCCGATAACAATCCCAACTACTAACCCACTTCCGACTCCTGAGAATATCACGATCCAATCAACTCTTTCACTTGGGAAGAAAGACTCGGACTTTTCGCTTGTTTGTGGAGGTGTTGACGCCTTTGAATCTTGACAGTCGTTGGATAAAGGTTCTCCACACAATCCGGGATTCGCTTCGTATGAGTTACTCTCAAATGTATTGAATTGTCCGCCTTGGGGTATGCGTCCATGAAGATGGTTGAATGACAAATTCAAAATGGCAAGGAATCCGAGCTGCAACAACTGATGAGGAATTTCTCCTGATAGCTCGTTTCGGGAGAGATCTAGAGATTCAAGATTCTTTAGGTTCCCCAAGGATGACAAGACACCACCAATAAGATAGTTGTTGGAAAGGTTAAGTGATTCAAGTCCACGAAGATCTTGGAGTGATTGTGGGATTTGTCCTTCAAAATTGTTACAAGAGAGATCAATAACAGTGAATATGTCCAAAATACGGGGGTACTCTCTCTTAACACCTTTGCTTGTTATTGTCATCTTGTATGGAATCGACAATTCAAATGTTAATAATGGAAACCTTGATTGCAGAAAAGATGATTTGCCATCATAAACCGACTTCATTGCATTCCAACTTTGGAAGTACTCATGGGGTAGTGGACCACCAAAACCGTTGTTGGAGAGATCTATTATCCGCAACTTGGGAAATTGTGAGATAACCATTGTCGGACCTTGAATTCCACCATAAAATCTGTTGGACCCCAACATGAGGACTTGCAACTCCACAAGAGTACCCAACCAAAATGGAAAGGTATCATCAAAAGAGTTATCTCCAAGAGAGAGAAACTCTAAGTTGATACAATTTGTCAAGGATTTTGATACCTGACCCACAATTTGATTTTCGCTCAAATCAATCTTCCTCAGCATGCATCCTTGGGTAAATGTATTCATCATTGTGCCTTGAAAGTTGTTCCCTTTAAGATCCAACACCAACAAGGAATTGCTTAATCTGCCCAAACAAGAAGGAAGAGTTCCATTTATGTTGTTAGAAGACAAATCCAGCAATAGAAGAGAGTTCAATTCACATAATAAAGGTGGTATTTCTCCTTGCAGATTGTTATTTGATACATCATAAACAACCATGGTCCGTGGTGGAATTGGTACTCGTCCTTGTAGCTGATTATACGCGATGCTGAAATATTTCAAACGACCCCATGGGAGAAAATTTTGATGTTGATGAAAACCAGTGATGAAGTTGCTTTCAAGGTCGATTATCTCTAATGATTCAAGATTCTTGTTCCACATCCACTCTGGTACGCGACCACCAATTTTGTTGTCACTAAGAAATAAGACATTCAATTTGTGTCTGAACCGCAAAATGGCAGGGAATTTCTTCAAATCGCACGAGGATAGCCCGAGGATTTTCAATTCTGGTAGGGAGCCATTGGTGTAGTTGCTGGTGGCCACAAATGATATTTTGTTACCCGAGAGATATAGAGTATCGAGTTGGTTGAGTCCTACGAACATATCCAAGTCCACCCTAAAATCATTCCTTAATAGAGAAAGCAGTTGAAGACGTTTGAAGTTGGAAAATGAGCTAGGAATTGGTCCATGAAATTTATTTCCTGCAAGGTTTATGACTCTCAATTGGGTCAGGTTCATAAATGAAGATGGGATAGAACCATGAATGGAATTATCTTCCATCATGACAAGACTAAGTTTGGTTAGGTTTGAAAAAAGAGGTGGGATTTCATCTAAGTTCATACGATTCAGATACAAGTTATTAAGCTTTTTCAGTTTGCCAAGCCAATCAGGCATACGTTTCTTCTCAAATTGGATACCACTAAGTTCCAAATGATTGAGTTCAGAAAGTCTTAACAATGAAGGAACCTGGCCTATGAACACTACTAGAAAAACAGGTATCAGCGACGAACATCAGCGAGGGAAAATATCCCTCGCAGATCAGCGAGGGATCAGCGAGGGAAATCCCAAAAAACTAAATCCCTCGCTGATCTGCGAGGGAAGTTTTCCGTCGCTGATTTTTGTAGAAGAAATTTCCCTCGCAGATCAGCGAGGGAAATAGCGAGGGAAATACCAAAAAAAACTTTCCCACGCTATTTCCCTCGCTGATCTGCGAGGGAAATTTCTTCTACAAAATCCCTCGCTGATCCCTCGCAAATCAGCGAGGGATCAGCGAGGGATTTTTCTATTTTTCCTATTTTCTCATTTTTTTATGTATTATATGTACATATTTTTATATGTTGATATCGTATGTATGCATGTCCTGTGTTGTTTGTGTGTATGTATATNTTATAACATAGTACTTTAGAACTTACTTTGTCTGACATGTCAAACATATTGTCATACCAGGATAAGAGTATGTAGAGTTGGTGAGACAAACTGCTGGATAAGTTTGCACTCCAATTCGGCTTACCAGTAGTAGCATTTGTCATACTACTTTTGATTTTATCTTGTATTGATCTTCTTTTGGTTAGATGACAATCCAATCCACCTTTGCGACAATCTTGGCCTCATTTCAACTAGTCTTCAATTTCGTTGAAGACTTTTTGTTCTTGGATCAAAAAAGACAATTTTAAGACTTTTACATAAGAATCACTACTAGAAAAACAGGTATCAGCGACGAACATCAGCGAGGGAAAATATCCCTCGCAGATCAGCGAGGGAAATCCCAAAAAACTAAATCCCTCGCTATTCCCTCGCTGATCTGCGAGGGAAATTTTCCGTCGCTGATCCCTCGTTGATCTGCGAGGAATCAGCGAGGGAATTGCCAAAAAACTCATTCCATCGCTGATCCCTCGCTGATCTGCGAGGGATCAGCGAGGGAAATACCAAAAAAAACTTTCCCTCGCTATTCCCTCGCTGATCTGCGAGGGAAATTTCTTCTACAAAATCCCTCGCTGATCCCTCGCAAATCAGCGAGGGATCAGCGAGGGATTTTTTTATTTTTCCTATTTTCTCATTTTTTATGTATTATATGTACATATTTTTATATGTTGATATCGTATGTATGCATGTCCTGTGTTGTTTGTGTGTATGTGTGTATATATATATATATATATATATGTTGTGGTTGCTAACCGCAATATGTGCATGTGTTATAAGTATATATACCCGTCGTGAGGGAAAATGATATACATTCACAWATACATATACGTTTAAACATATATTCATTCATCGAATCGTGGTTAGCAACTAGTACACATATATATATATATGTGTATATATAATTGACCGATGGGTATATATATATATACATATAACACATACAACGTCGTTATTGACATATATGTATATTACACGGGCTAACGGGTATATATATACTTATAACACATGCATATATATATATACACGATACCTAATTATAAAAATATAACACATAAAATTCAAGAAAATAAGTATGTATGTATGTATATGTGTTGTTTGTATATATATATATATATATATATATATATATATATACGTCGATGT